TTTTATTTTGACGTGCAATTTCAGTTTTGAGTAATGATCATCGTGGATTATTATGTGTAAAATAGCAAAATATCATTCATTCATGCATGATGGCGATTTAAACCTAATTCACTTCAATAAAGATAACTATGCTATTCTTGTCATTAGCATAAAGGTGTGGTGGCGCTGTGGTGCAAATTCCAATCATGTTTAGTACATGTTAACTCAAATATTCGTGGAAAAATATAAACGTTGGAGGCCGTTGATCTGCGCGCAAAGTCCTTAAAATCTATTCTGTGTTAAGGTAAGGCATGTTATTCCCAATTATGTGTTGTGGCTGGGTTGTTAAGGTCTGCGTGACTCTCGATGTCTTAGGCCTAATTGAACAGAGGAATTATGGTATTCTTCAAAAGACTGACGAGTAATTTAACCCTTGTTCAAGTGAACTCAAAGACAGCCTATTTATAGACTATTTGTATTTGTGGGTGGCTGTTTGCTGTTTGACTTTGACTCAATTTGTGTCGATAAAGTATAATAGGCTAAATCCTGTATAAAGTGCTTGCATAGTGCATACACTTGTAGCTGTTATGTATCTTTGGAAGTCCTTGAAATGAATGGGTTTTGTCCTGTCTGAAAGGCGCTTCAGTCCTCAGCACGCGCAAGTGCACGAACATACGATCTCACGTTATGTCAATCACGCTTGCACACTGCCTTCCGAAACTTTTCTTCCGTCATAAAAAAAAATCAAATCTGGTTCAATTTTCTGCGTTTTTCGCATCCGTAGCAAGCAGTTTGAATGGTGTTTTGACAATTCAGAGCCACCGAATCACGAATACGAAAAAACGCATACGAAAATTTCGGACTCAGTGTGCAAGGGCCTTAATGTGTGTCCGTAAATTCCCCGCTGACATGTTGAAATACTCTGAGTCAGATACAAAAATGTTTAGGATCTTTTTTTTTTTTTACTTACCGGGAAATAACCTGATTTAGCCTATTAATAAACACTCCACCTTTGCTAGCAAAATAGAAAAATATTCTCATATAAAACGAAGTAATAAAACAAGCAAATTAATGAGTAAATAAGCAAGTTAATAATCAAATAAGTAAGCCCCGCCCCCCTCGCGATAATATCGTGTATCGCTGATCTCACAGGCTGACGATAGGATGATATGAAAATGGAGCATATCGCCCAACACTAATTGTCTATATCATAGCAATATCATATATATTTGAATAGCAGTGTTAGGCATGTTACTTAAAGTATTTATAGTTACTAGTTACTTCTCACAAATAGTAACTGAGTTACATCATTAAAAAACGAATTACCAGGGAAAGTAACTATTGCGTTACTTTAAAAAAAAAAAATTCCAATGTGTCAAATAACTTGGATGCCCCAACAATATTAAATGTTAAATGAATGAAATGGACACTAAATAGAATAAATTATTATTATAAAACATTGTACACTAATCTACAATATTTTAATGTTGCTGTGGGACAATGTACGCCTATTCAATTCGATTTTTTTTTAAAAAAATATTCTCATTAGTGGAACAATAAAACACAATAGATGGTTTAGAACTTTTAATATTTTATTGCACAGACCACAACTGGCCAACAAATAAGACCAAAAATAAATGATGCTTCTTAAGGAATGTTCCAAAAATGAATAAATAATAAAAATATATGCATAAGGGCCTACACTCTTTGTAGTGCAAATTAAAATGATAAAACTGTCACACAACTTCACAACTGGTAGACATACTGTAGCCTACTTGAAGTATTTTCTTCCACACAAAAGTAAACAGTTTAACAAGTGCTCTCAATATAATACTGAACAATGTACCAAAAATAAATGATAATAATAATGATAATAAAACATATTTTATTTTTATAATCTACAGAGAACGTCATCATCAGAAGTTATTTAAGCCAAATTCACACGTGTTCACACAAACGGTCAAACAAATGTTTTCTGGAAGTTCCCTTCAGGTTATTTTTGGGTTTTATTTTATAACCTAAAGAGAACGTTCCCTGTTATTTGTAGTTTTTATTTTTATAACCTAAGCAGAACCTTCTCAGAATGTCCCCTGCAGGTTATTTTTAGATTTTATTTTTATAACCATGTAAACTAATTAAAACGTTGCAGATGATACCAATAGACTACAGCGTCAGAATGTAGGCTCACTATTGGCCGAAGCTGATGTGTGTGATGCATTGTGACGTACAACACAGAAGCGCTGCACTGTTACACTACGTGAACTCACTCAGAGGCGTTTAAAATAAATAGTTGAATAATTGGGGAAACAAATTGCGCACAAAAGTATTCTCATCGCTTGATAAACTTATGGTAGAGCCACTGTAGTCACTTGGACTATTTTAACTGTTTTTTTTTTTACTAACTTTTCTGGGCTGGCAAGTTTCAATAACATAGAAGCCTATGGAGGAGTGAGACAGCTCTCAGATTTAATCAAAAATATCTTAATTTGTGTTCTGAAGATGAACGAAAGTCTTACGGGGTTGAAACAACATGAGGGTGAATAATTACTGACAGAATTTTCATTTTTGGGTGAACTAACCCTTTAAGTAAATGTTGGGAGAATGTATTGGATCCGTGAATGAGGTCTGAAAGTGACAGCAGCCTAATGGCGCTTTTCCATTACCAGTACCAGCTCGACTCGACTCGCCTTGGCTCGCCTCGACTCGGCTCGCTTTTCGCTCCGTTTTCCATTGCAGAAAGTACCGCCACATAGTACCCGGTCGTCATAGCGACGCCTTTCGTTCCTCGTTGCCCCATCATGCTCTCGCTGGATCCTCTCTTCGGCAACCAAACAAAGGAATGTCTGCACCTCCTCGTTTGACCACGGCGTATTCTTCCGAGTTGCCATAATAATAGTAGTAAGATTAGTAACTATCTCTGGCCAAACTATTTAAAAATGGCGGGGTTATTCTAGATACTCCATCTGGCGCGTGCAATGATGACGCAGTGAATTGTGACGATTCTCTCTGACCAATCAGCAGTCGGCATTGTTTTCACGTCACATTTTAGTATCGCCTCAGCTCGCTCAGAACCTCGCCGGAGGTGGTACGAAAAAAAGTACCCGAAAGCAGGTACAGGTACAACTTTTACACAGTGGAAAACCAAACAAAGGCGAGTCGAGCCGAGGCGAGCTGGTACTGTGTAGTGGAAAAGCGCCATAATACACATGCGTCCTTAATGTTATTCAAACAACAAAAGACAGAGAAAATCACTCGCTTATCTTGACTGAATATCTTCAGAAGCTTTCATTAAAAATCTATGTATTTAAATTCATTCAGTGAAGTCTATACAGTGTTTTATCGTTACATATGATAATTCAATTTCTTTAGATGAACAACTTTAGAAGAAATGAACAGATTCAACCCTGAATAATTTTATCATCAAAAGCAAACTTTAACCATGTTTTAGGTTTTTAAATAACTATTAGTATTTTAACTTGTTACTCACCAAGAAAATAGCCAATGAAGATTGCATAGCGTTAAAACGCCAACCAACAATGACCAAACTTGAACTTTGGAACGCTGTAAAATGCAAAAAGACATGAAGCAGGGACCCACAATACAAAATGTAAAACAGAGCTACATATTAAGCCTATAGCTTTCAATGTTAATAGAAACCAACCATATTATGATAGTTATATTCTGGGGTGCACATAAGTGGTGTGCATGTGTGATCAGAAAAAATACCATGGGTAAATAAGTTCAGATCACTCATTTGCATACCGACACATGGTGGACAGCTGTTAATGCACAATCACTGTTTTAGATTGACTAACTGTAGTGCTGTATAAGATTTCTATTTGAACTGAATGCATTATAAATCTCCCAGTTTCAGAGCAAAACGCAAAGCTGTAACATACACTGACGCGCTTCAATCGGCAGTGCTTGAACCGGTAATGCATATACTTATTTCCTGGCAACCCGCCAAAATAAAAGCTTGCTGATTTTAGTTTTGAAAATGTTAAATTCATATAAAGATTAAAAAATAAATAAATTTTAGGTAAGTATTAGCATTGTATTTTTAAATGGATAGTTTACCCAAAAATGAAAATTAGCCCATGATTTACTCACCCTGAAGCCATCCTAGGTGTATATGACATTCTTCTTTCAGATATATTAAAAAATATATATATATTTATATTCTTTCAGTTATATTAAAAAATGTCCTGGCTCTTCCAAGCTTCATAATGGCAGTGAATGGCTTTGTCTTTGGAAGTCCATTTAAGTGCATCTATTCATTATTAAAGTGCTCCACGCGTCTCCGGGGATTAATAAGGCCTTCTTAAGTGAAGCAATGCGTTAGTGTAAGAAAAATATCCATATTTAAAACTTTATCGACTAAAATAGCTAGCTTCCGGCAGACGGCTGTATGCGTCGATTTACGAAAAAAGAGTAACCCTTGAACTTGACGCGCAACATAATGCGGTGCCCAGCCCTGTTTGTTTGAAACAAGAGAGGCGTCGATTGCCATTATGTTGTGCGTCAAGTTCAAGGGTTACTCTTTTGGCGTAATCGATACCTACGGCCGTCTGCCGGAAGCTAGTTATTTTAGTCGATATGTAATTGGCCATCTGTACTCTGAATAAAAGTTTTGTTTTTCATGTTGCTTAGAGTACAGATGGCCAATTACATATCGACTAAAATAACTAGCTTCCGGCAGACGGCCGTAGGTATCGATTACGCCAAAAGAGTAACCCTTGAACTTGACGCACAAGATAATGGCAATCGACGCCTCTCTTGTTTCAAACAAACAGGGCTGGGCACCGCATTATGTTGCGCGTCAAGTTCAAGGGTTACTCTTTTGGCGTAATCGATACCTACGGCCGTCTGCCGGAAGCTAGTTATTTTAGTCGATATGTAATTGGCCATCTGTACTCTAAGCAGCATGAAAAACAAAACTTTTATTCAGTGTTTTATATAAAACCTCGAAACATTGTGTGAAACATTCTCTGGCTCTAATGAAATATCTGTGCGTCTTGCAGACGGTCCAGTTTGTCCAGGGAATTTTCGTTGAGAAATATGACCCCACAATAGAAGACTCCTACAGAAAGGTAATAATTTCTGCTCAGTAGATTCTGTCTTCTTTCTTTTAAATAACCTAGTGGGTAATGGAAGCTTATCTTTATTTTTATTTTCTTCCCTTCTCCTCATGTAGCAAGTGGAGGTGGACGGCCAGCAGTGCATGTTGGAGATCCTGGACACCGCAGGAACAGTAAGTGTTGTTGGCCTTCCTGTTTTCAACCTTCTCTATTTCGGTGGGCTCAGCTGGCAACATACTGCAACTAGGTTCGAGGACAAATAAAGAATTCACACCCTTCTTTTGTTTGCATTATCATCAGAGGTCTGTACGCTTCTTACCAAAACCTCACATGCAAGGAATTTTTAATAGGAAAAACCTGACCCCAGACAGGCCCAATCAAATTAGAGTTCATTATTATTTATTAATAATATTGCATGTTTTGTCTCTTGGAAATGCACATTTGGCAGTAGCTCGAGTTGATGGTGGCAGTAGTTTGAGCTTGAGTTCATAAACAAAAACCGTAAAAATTGTTGCCTCATTTTTAGAGGGTAAAATTTAAATTCTGACATGAGTGTTATCTACTCTTATTAAAATTCACCATTGATCTTCCGTAGTATTATATTATATATATTTGTAGATCATGATAGCCACAGGAAAAACCATGCATGGCACATCAATGCCATGGTAAAATCTAAGCTATATATTGTAACTATAATGTTTTCTATTATATTATTTATGAAAAACAATAGAAAATTTACTATAAATGTACAAAACAGCTACTTAATAACAAAGTCACTTAAGTTATATTTCTTTACTACTTTAATAAATGTCTATATTAATATAATATAATTTGTTAGGTATATCCCACATTTCAGCTACAATACCATGGTTACCACAATCATTCTGTCATTCTCTCCTCTGAAAGTCTTGTTTCAAAAACTTCTGTCTTTATGACATTTTGAATTGTCAGTTTTGTATTTTTAGTGGAGGGACAGAAACCTCAGGTTTCATTAACATATCTTTCTTTGGGTTTAAAAGATGATTGAAAGTTTTATGAATTTACTTGTAAATCTCAATGTAAAATTTCATTATCCTTCTTCTTTTTTAGGAGCAGTTCACAGCCATGAGGGACCTGTACATGAAGAATGGGCAGGGCTTTGCTCTTGTGTACTCAATCACAGCACAGTCCACATTCAATGACCTGCAGGACTTACGAGAGCAGATCCTACGAGTAAAGGACACAGAGGATGTAAGTTTGAGAGAAAATACAATAAAGCACTTTACAGACTTAGTTTAACAAATCACCGCCTTATTGAAGCCTCTTTCATCACTAGCCAAATGCCCCTTGTAGCTGATTACAGAGTTTAAAGTGCCATTATCACTCTTTCTTTTTATATGCCAATAACAATTAGAAAATCAAAGATTTTTCTCCCTGCATTCATTCTTGCTAATAATGATTTGTGCAACAAAACAAAAAAAATACACCTGTGGATGGCTTCTGTATCTAGGGCTATGTTCAGACTGCAGGCAAATCATATTTTTTTCTCAAATCAGATCTTTTCAGGCTGACTGTCTGCACTATTAATTGCAAATGATCAAATAAGAATTGTCCAAACATACTGAATGGGTTGCTTTAGTAACGATGTAGGTTTAGCCACGTATGTGACAAGGCGTTCAAAAAAGGATGCAGGGGAAAGTAAATTAATGTAAATTAAGTGCATTTTACATAAAACAAGTAAAATTATCTGACAGTATTAAAAAAATTGCAAACGGAAACAAGATTATTTTTCTTACCCTATTGGCAGATAAATACGTTTACGTCAGTCAGTAGAGTGTTTTTTTGTGGGTTTTTTTTTGGTGCTATCCATATTTTTATTTGAGCGGTAACATTTTTAAATGGTAGTTTTCTATATAACATCGGGTCATATGCAGAGCACATTAGTAAGGCCGATTGAATGAAGAGCGATAAGGAAAGTGTGCCTTGCACTCACGCTCTTTGTTTACTTGTGTGTTGTGCCGTGATAGCCATCAAAGAGGAGTTTCACTGTGTAGAAATCGGTTTAAATGAGGCTAATCTGATAAATGACGTTCACTTGATAACATCTTGCGGCGACCTCTGGAAGTAATCTGAATTTCCTTCAGGAATTTTTATGTGGTTGGATGCATTGATAACACGCATATTCCCATCATCGCTCCTTCTGAAAATAAAACAGATTACTGTATGAAACGGAAGGATGCCAGATGGAAGGGTAGTCTGAGATGTATGCCACAACCACAGCTGTTAAATAATAAACACAAATTATTCAAATTCATTTATTTGGTCATCTTTATTTACTACAAATACAAAAGCAACAGGTATTCTTTTTAATATTTTAATATTCTTCCAATAATTGGTATTGTGGCCATCTCCTCTTCATCTTTTAGTGATGGTGGTATTTTGTGAGCCTCTGCCTTGCTGTTGGCTGAGTAGAAGTCAAATGTTAATTTCATTACCCTAATTAAGAAATGTAACAGGCTTGATGAGAGAATATTTAATTATTTGAAAAGAGCATCAGACTGTATGGAAAAAAGCTGCTGCATATTGAATAGACACTGAATTATTTTTATTTAATGTGTAAAATGTTTGTAAAGCCATGTAGGCTACACCCATGAACCTTTAATGCTTAAAGCCTTACCTGAATGAATAGGTTTTATACCTCATTTTTAGCTGCTGCCGCGTGTATTTTTTTTTAAAACAAATTTTTGCATGTGGGATACCATGAAAATTAATAATAGTTCAATAACTTACCGCTCTACCAGTTTTTACCTCTGCATGGTTCCCGCGGATCCTTAAAAAGTCTTAAATTCGATTTTTAAAATATAAGGCCATTAAAAGTCTTATAAAGTCTCATTTTTACTTATGAAAGGTCTTAAATTTTAGATGACAGTTTGACTTAGACACATCTAAATGCTTTCCAAATTAAAGCTATCTAATTAGCGTACGTATTATTTTGTATTATTCTATCTTTGTGGATTTGCTTGTTCACGTGACAACTCTTCGCATCACACTCGTGGCAGAATAACGTCTGTCTCCTGCACGTGAGAGTAGAGAAGGAGAAGAAAGTTGGTAAATGTCAGTTCAGTTGTGAGTTCATTCTTTATGTGCGTAACGTTAGTGGTGTGCTATGTGTATTGTCTATTATGATATTGTAATCATTGTTTTAACGATGTACGAGGCACTGCTGATATCGCATTTGTCTATCGTGCTTTCACTGCGTGATGTGTCAGTGCAGGTATAGGTATGTCCCTAAATGAGTTTTTGTATTATATTTATATCATATTATGTTCTTATATTAGAATATCACATCAGCAAGAGTGTCCTTTTCCTGTGCACAATTGACCCTTCGCTAAGCCTCGCCCTCCCTAGTTATTGTTGCTACGCCTGTCAAGCTTTCACGCCTGCCACGTCTATTACAGTGTGTATGCACCAGTGTCAGACATTCCTAATGAGATAATTAGTCATTTTTGGCGAACATGTGAAATATCAGAGAGAGCAAGACAAAAGGGACTGCAGTGGTTTTCGGGCGTGGCTTAGCGAGCAAGTGTGATATTTATGTTATACAACAGTTAAAGTTAACATTCTGAGTTACCTTTTAGACACAATATTGTTTGTTTTCCATTTATTTCGCCGACTAGAATTTCAAAATGAAACCGTAGTAGAGTCTCAATGCAACAGACAGCGATGATTTCTTGACTGAAATCTGCGTTTTGAACAAATCACTTGCTTCTTTCCCGAATGAATCAGCCGTTTGAACGAATCGGTTGAACTCACTTATTAGACAGTGAGTTGACTTGACAGTGACTTGCCGCCGCCTACTGGCGGTTTTAGTTTCATATTTAAAGTACCCTTTAATTAAAACTAGTGCTGGGCAACGATTAAAAATTTTAATATTGCGATTAATCGCATTGTTACGCGCAAGTGAATAATGAATTCTAAAGTAGTGTATTGCGCACTTTTGATTTAAATGTACTGCTATATACACAAAAGTGCAATAACATGTGGTTTGCAAAAACTTTAAAGGGGTCATATAATGCCGTTTTTGTACAAGCTAATATGATTCTTTAGGGTCTAAATTAAAAGTTTGTAATATACTTTAATTAAGAATTCTCATTAGTATTGTAAGAAAACACTTATTTTACCTGGTCAAAAACAGCTCTGTTTTCAGCACGCCGTTTCAGTGCATATGACTTTAAATGATAATGAGCTTTGCTCACCCCGCCTCTCTGTGCTGTGCATACACCATTTGTAACTCAATAACACTAACCATAACGCGTTGTTCAGTATAAACGTGGGATTATGAATTATATTGAGAATGTCATACTGTAATGTACCCTGAGTGGAAACCTTAGACGCATTCATTGTGAAGCGTCCAGCTAGCGATTTGCAAAGATTAATATATTAATATAAAGTTTAATAAAACGTTACACTCACTTCCGTTCTTCTGGAGATTCAGCAAGAACACGAATATCTGGTACCGATCCTTTTTTCATGAGCAGCTTCTTAGCAAATCCAGCTTTATACTGATCCTCGTTTATAAAGCAGTCTGGTGTGTGAAATGATTCGCGCAAACATGAGAGCATTGACGTTGCTCGTGGGGAATATTCCCTTCGAAAACAAACTCAGCCACTGCGTCTTCAGCAGTTCGGATTTAGGAACATTAAAATGACTGCTGTGTTCGTTATTACACCCAAGAACAGAACACCACAATCGCTTAGCCATTCTGCTCATAGACAGTGCTCCAGCATATCAACAATGACCGCGCCGGTCCGCGCCGCGCAGACTATGATTGACAGCTCCCTCATGAGCGAGGGCGGGTCTGTGTTGAAACGCTCCTGTCAATCAACAATCGTGGGAGGGGCGTGCGAGCTTGTGACGTCACAGGCTCGAACGGCTCGATTTGAGGCAGGGGAAAACATATAAGGAGATTAAAACAAAACCACTGGATGGATTTTTATTATTATATGATGGTTGTGTACAGACACTGCCAACACACATTTCAGTACAATCAACTTGTAAAAGTGCATGTACCATTATATGACCCCTTTAAACAAACAAGGTGCTTTATACCAGCAGTATTACCTTTACACATTAGCAATAAAATATTTATTGTAAATCTCAACTTAAACATTAATGTAATCAAATCAAATATTAAAACAAAGCTATGCCACATGCCAGGGCATTACCTTTAATCTAGCTTGTTAAAACGAGTCCAGTTTTCTTGTTTTTTTTTCTGAACAGTTATCAACAGGTATCTTTTATCAGGGAGCAGCAGAAACAAGTCTATGTAGTCAGAGGTCATGACCACTACTACAGATATAAGTCGACCAACGTTACTTCTCTGATAGTAGCTTAGGTTTGGTCATGACATGGTTTCCCACGTACACTAAGATTACATTAAACAGATGTAAAGCCCAATTTATACTTCTGCGTCGAACTCACGCCGTAGCTACGTACCTGCTGTGTGTAGTGCGCGTACCCTGACTTGCACCTCTCCAAAAATGTAACAATGCGTCAATTCTACGCGCACCGCAAGCGCTGTGATTGCTAGAACCGCTCCCCGGGTTTCACATGCATGCTCCCTCTGCATGTGTAATTGTATGAAGGTAAATCAGTAGCTAAACTCGAGAGCACGTAGATGTGAATTTGAGAACTTGTACAATAAATATTCGTACGTGTACGCGAACATTTACACTCACAGCTCCGATGTGAAAACCTGTAAAATAAAAATCTGAACTTGAACGCTGAGATTTGCACTCGCAGACTATAGTCACAAACCTGTATTCTGAATTTGAAGCTGCAGACAAGCAGTCACAAATGTGTAAAATGCCATTCACAAAGAACGACAGACACAAACTTGTAATACAAATTTGCACTTCTTCTAACATTCAAATTCGCAGTACAACCTCAAATTGGCACTTGCAACTTCTCAAATCTGTCACTGCAAGTTCAAATTTCACGCCTTGACTTTTGCTACTCTTTTCGCGATATATGAGGTGCAAAACTGATTTGTGCACTTGTAACTCAGTGGCGGTGAGAGCGGAAGGGGGGCGGGAGCGGGGGTGTTCGAAGGAGCCGTTTTATTGGTTGGTGCCTAGCCAATGAAATGGGACTTCTATTGTACGCGATGATGTCACGAAACCCGCCTCCTCGTGGATGTTCTGAAACGCTAACATGGCTTAATGCATTAGACTGATTTAAAAGAAATGAAT